AAAAGAACATCTGTCAGAGGACTATAAAGTTGTTGGTTTGATTATGGCTCTCAGTATATTGCAAAACGGAAAAATGCCAAGGTTCCTTAGCGAAGACCAACTGGAAACAGTTTTTCTGAATGGCACCACCTCCAGCAGCCTGACTAACCTCACGCAAGGTCTTAACAACCTGGGTTTATGTGACATTGCCAAACATCTGCCAACCTTTTTATATCTTTTTCGACCCTCTTCAGCTTCATTGCTAACAAGAAGAAAACTTGTGCACATTCTTAAGCCCGACTTTTCTGAAGATGGATGTAATCAGCGACAGCATGAGAATATAGTCTATGCGGCATTTTCCAAGTACTGCAGAGAAGCTGCTGGAGGTAAAAGAGGTAATATTACCCTAGAGCATATATTACAGTTCACAACCGCAACTGATGAAGAACCTGTTCTCGGCTTTGCAACAGATCCATCCATACAATTTGTGTCATCCAAGTCATCAAGTAAATGGTCATTTATTCCTACAGCAAACACTTGTGGTAATACACTACATTTGCCTTGCCCTGATCATAGTGTAGCACTTCCTGTCGAAGTTGAACTTTTCGAAGTGTATGATATGGCGTTTTGTAATGCTTATTTTGGGAACCGCTAAACTAAACACATTATAATACTTTATTCGCTGTTTTGTTGGAGTAATCTATTGAACTCTTTTGAAGTAAACTGTTTAAGTAACTTAATATTTACATTTATTTAGTTTTGTTGTCAGATCAGTTTATAGTTAAACATAACCTGAGTTTGATAACCATCTCAGCTGGAATGGTATACAAGGATTTAAAATAATATTTACTAATCATAGTGTAAACTACAATCCCAACAAAAGCTCATGAAACACCTTGCATAAACATACTATAACGTACAATTTTCCCCCTCCATGTACAATGTTTAGTTAAAATGAGTTAAATGAGTAACTTTGTGTGTTGCTATGGTGCATTTTTACTTCACCAAGTTTCGACTGACATTGTTCAATGGAAGGAGAAGATTTTGTGTCTATTATTCACCAGTAGTGCAGGTTTTTCATTAACTTTTTCTTGGGGTCTACTGTATGTCCAGACTCCAGAACTGTTTGCTGTTTAGTTCATTGTCTAACATTTTAACTTGGCTAAGCCTGAGGTTCTATTTTGGCAGAGCATTTTATGTAAGTGAACCACTGAGTTCAATTAAACACATAGAAAGCAGGGCATACCATCTATGTCCCGTCTATTGTATTTGTAGTAAATTTAAAACTTCTTCATAAATGTCAATTCCCATTTCATTTGAAGGTGCCAAAGGGTTTACAACCTGCAAGATTTCTGACTGTATATTAGTTGCATTTTCAATGTTTATTGGGTGGACAACAACATCATTATCACTTTCATCAAATGGGTTCGGTCCATGTGGATCAAACCCATAAAACTCCGCATTTTCAGGGAGTGGGTCAGGTTGTCCAGGTAGCAATGGGTTATCTGCATTTAATATGCTATTTATCCATACTTGGTAAGGCGACCAATTATGCATTGTACGAACTTTGTGTTGATTATATGCTTCCACAAACTCCTGGAGAGCTAGATTGATTCTTGGCAGAAAAACAATATGTAATGCAAACACATGAAGTGGATTTGTAGTATTAAGGATTCCAGAATCTTCCATCGCATAAAATACATAATAGAAGTAGTGGCTAACTGTACGGAATACATCTCTCCAAAGTCTCTCAATTCTCTGATTATGGGTCGATGGTCCAGCAATGAAACTGGCTCGACCTTCTCCCCGGGCTTCCACCATAGCTTCACACACCAATACATTTTCTACCCCGTGGTCTACTCGAATACGGGATGGCCACAGTTCTCCATCTTTCTCAATAGCATCAAGAAACAGGGTTAATACTGTGCTAGCTAGATTGTTTGAGCTGCAATGAAGATAAATTATTCTTCTTGAGAAGCCATCAATGCATCCATGTATGACTAACCCCCATCTTATCAAAGAATGGTGTCCGTCAAGATGCCACAGTGAGTTGGCCCACGGAACTTGATACCGTCTACGATAAACTGCAGCTCCCCATCTTAATGCAGCATTTTCTGGATCAATTCTGGCCATACTATTGCGAACTCTTCTTCTTTGCAAATGTATACCACGGGAGCGAAGGTACCCCATTATCAACACTTCCCCGGTTGTTCTTCCATGACGACTTGTGTAATCTCTTAGTACTTCGTCAATTTCTGCATCAGATAAATTGCTAAATTCACTTAAATGAAGCAGGTTGTACTCTTGAATTCGTCTATATATTGTCCATCGTGAAACGCCATACATCTTTGCAATTTTTTCTTTACTGAAACCTAAACCCAAAAGCTCTTCTAACATTTCAGGTTGTACATGAAATGCAGGTCTTCCAGGTCTTCTAGTATGCTCAACATTACAGCTTTGCATAGTCAGTGTTGTTGGTCTACGAGCAAGTTCCGACATATGGCTATGTAAGTTTTGTAATATAAATGTAAAGCAGCTTTCAATTGCGTACCATTCCTGCCTGTCATCCTCGTCAACCTCTTGGCGTATCAATCCTAAAAGGCTTATGGTTCGATCAACAACAGTCAGACATGCCTCTACTTCATTTATATGTCTGCTGTTAGCATTTATTACAGCATCTGCCCGGTCGAGAACTGAATTTAAAAATAAAGGCAATTCTTCTTCCACGCTGAAATTATCAATCTCTGCCTCAAAATCGCCATATTCATTCCTAGGAATTTCGATTTCAGTTAAAGCAGCCATGTTGCACTCGCCGAGGGTAAGTATGGTAATTGTAGCCTGGGGACGAGCTAGACGGAACGTTGAATGTTTTTTGTTGAACGTTGAATGTTTTTTGTTGAACGTTGAATGTTTTTTGTTGAACGTTGAATGTTTTTTTGTTGAACGTTGAATGTTTTTTTGTTGAACGTTGAATGTTTTTTTGTTGAATGTTTTTTGTTGAACGTTGAATGTTTTTGTTGAACGTTGAATGTTTTTGTTGAACGTTGAATTTTTTTGTTGAACGTTGAATGTTTTTTTGTTGAACGTTGAATTTTTTTGTTGAACGTTGAATTTTTTTGTTGAACGTTGAATTTTTTTGTTGAACGTTGAATTTTTTTGTTGAATGCGTTGTTGAATGTTGAATTTTATTGATCATTAAAGGTTGAAATTCAATTGGTTGAATATTGCTACAAATGGCTTGCCATATACCATGGAGAGTAATGCACATTTCTTATGCTACAGTCCCGAAATTACATCATAAGGAGGAGAATGGTTAAGGCTACGTCCAAGTCATATACATAGTATATTAGTGCTGCAGGTGAAAATTAGGGATTATGGATCGAAAGCTATGCAAATAACAAATTTGCGTGGTGCTTCGATAAACCAAAATTGATATTATTATTCGCCACGCAAAACTACAAAGATGAAAGAACTTAATCTTTACAGTCATCCTCAGGAATTACGAAAGCACTATAAATCTTATAAAACCCCACGTTGCCATCTGAAATACTTCTCATCATTACAGTAATTACTGATACTGGTCACTACTATAAAAAACTATACAGTTCTGAGAAGTGAACTAAGCTGAAAATTCGGCAAAATTCGCCCTTGTTCTCCTATTTGATAATTCGGTATCCTGCTGAACTAATTTTAGAGCAGTAATAAGACTGGACTTTTTATTTCCAAAATCTGTAACCTTGGCTCTCAAGTCTGATGTAGTTTGGGATACGTTTATATATTCCCCTCTCATTTCTTCATTTTTCCTGATCTACTTTTCCCTTCTTCGATCTACTTTTCCCTTCATGCAGGAAGGTTTCACATTCTTTAATAGCTGGATTGCAACCTATCTCTTGGTGTAATAAAACAGCGGCCATGTTTGTACCAAATTCAATGAAAGATGATGAGATTCTTTTGTTGATATAGCACCAACATGGCCGCAGTGACGTAACGTCCAATTGACCTTTAATGGTTATTTAATTTGCGAGAAACGCTAATTTTCTGTCAACATTATCTCCAGCCTAGATTTAATTTCACAAATTTCCCGGTTACTGTTGAACTTCGCAGTATTATAATGATGCTAGAGTATATGCTTCCACTTTCTGGTTACAATTTCGTGACCAGTATGCAAGTTACTGTTTGTTGACTCCAAGTCCGAATGCGTATTTTGGTATTTTGAACTTTAAGAGGTTGGTTTCGTTGCAAATTTCCTGGACAAATTATATTATTTGTTCTTAGTTTCTTCAGCCTTTTCCCTTCTGAAAGTTCCACTATTCGAATACCAACGTATTGAGACTTCGCTGTTTTCAAACAGCTTACAGTTACTGTACTTCTCGGTGTTGTCCATTTCCCATGTTGAATATAGCCCGTCAACAAATTGTAGCCTCCACTTTAAGCTTCCCTTGTTCGTAACTGAAATGGTTACTTTGTCCTCTGCAGTCAACAAATTGATTTCCCATCACTGCTGTATTCAGCAAGACGTTTCCCGCCTTCGAGCTCAATTTTGTCAAATGTTCTGCACTGTATGTTCAATTTTTCTTCTAATCTGAGTATATCCTCACTAACACAAGATGTTTTTACTAATATTCATAAAAAAGGATAAACGAGTTCATAAACTATTTCTTTATTGCGACAACGTTCTCGATACAACATTTAAGCTTTAATATAAGAATAATAAGCATGATCAGCGACAGTGGTCTAAAGTTGCTTCAAACATTGATTTAAATTTTAACGTAAGTTTTAGCGCGGGCAAACAGCGAAATTGTGATTGTATCAAGTCAGCCATTTTAAGGTTATGACCTTAGGTTGTTTTATAATGGCGTAGAAATCGCAATGTACAGTATAGGGCTTCAACACTTTTCTCATCAAGGAAGGGTGGGTGGGTTTATAAATAAATAAATAAATAAATAAATAAATAAATAAATAAATAAATAAATAAATAAATAACTTGACAGAGTCAGCCAGTGATTCTCCTTCGCTAGAGCCAGTGATTCTCCTTCGCTAGTGTACTCAGCAATGTTGTCAAATGTTTGGCGCCGTATGGCGGATGAATTTTCTTCTAAATCTGAGTTGTTTGTTGTTGAAAATATATCCAAAGTAACATCATGCAGGCATTTTTTCTCATACGTTGTAATAAAAAAAGAGTAAAGGAGTTCAAACATCTCTTTATTGTGGCAAAGTTCAAAGTTCTCGAGACGCAGAATAACTTCGTGGTGAACCTTTAACATCAAGTTTTACCCCGGACACTTCAATGACACTTCAATGTTTTAATAAAATGATAAGCGTCAGCGAGAAACACTGAATGTAATTGTACCACGTCAGCCTTTTAATTTAAAGGTCATCTACAGTAAATATCCTGACAGGCCTTTGAACAGAACTGGCAAGATGTTTTACAGTAGATTACCTTAAATTGCCTCAGAAAACCTTAATAGCGTAGAATTTCCAATACAGATCGTCCATGAACATTTTCCCAATGAAGGGTGGGTTACTTGATTAGCCATTTGTGATTGGTTAACCTGTTCGTTTCACCTTTGATGTAACATTGCTAAATAAACACCGTTGAATCTTTACAGGAATGGCGAAACGAGCTGCTTTAAGCATTTGCTTTTATTCAGAGTTTGACCAATTAGCTATCAACTGCAGACTTTTTGCTCATTATATCCTCATTGTCTGTTACGCTTATTGAACAAACTTAAAAGCACGTTTCTGTGCAACCAATGATTGTTAAGACTTTTAAGAGGATTGCTACCCTGAAATCAACATGATAAAAAAACGATATCTCAATTCGGATGGAAATTAGACTACCCTGCTTACACGTCAATTAATACGCCCCATCAATTAATACGCCGGTTGTTCGAGAGCCAGTACGTTTAACCCCACAACAGGTTAACCCAAAATTCAAAGCAAACTTCCCAACAGCTCGCTTACAAACTTGGAAATATTTCTTCAGTAATCTTGCGTGGATCAACAGTTTTCTTCTCTGATGTTTTGTAATAAACAAACACGTAGAGAAACACGAACAAAACGGCGAGTTAAAGTTTAATCTATAGGGTTAGTTCTAATCCAGCTTTGAACAACAGGCCCAAATATTAAATATCAATACAGTATATACTCACTGGCAAAAAAAACTAGAGATCCAAGGATAGTGTAAAGTTTCAAATTGAATACGATCGGGAAGAACTGCCAGGCCTTAAAATATCGGTCGGTCACGGACATTGTCCGACCCATTCGTGAAATTGTCCGACGTATAGAGGAAACCACCGGACATTCTGTCCGATCAAAGTGAAACTGAGGTTTATTGTTTGTCCGACCTGAGTGTATTGGTGTCAGACCGAACTGTAGCTTTGTCCGACGTAAATCAAAATGTACCCTAGCCCAGGGCTAGAAGCTTGTATGTTAAATGGAAAATCAGAGTTCTGTTGTATAAAAGGTGAACTGGAAATGTTGTTTTAACGTAGTCGAGCGCGGGGCGGCGAGCGAAATGGTGAAGTGGAAAATTAACGCGCTTAAGTTGTCGAAGTCTTTTTAATACTGCTTTTCTGGAAAGCACTTTAATTTTGGCTTGGAAATATAAGAATGAAAGAAACAAATTATTTAATATTTTGACAATATTTACCGTTTAGAATTAATACATTGTGCTGATATTCATTTGTGTCATTCAGACTTATTTACGAGTCAAAACTGAACTGAAGGTCATCGGACATATGTCCGACCCAAACTCAACGTCATCGGACATTTTGTCAGACGGCCCTGTAAAAGATATTTTAAGGCCTGACTGCGTAGGGTCTAGCGGGTTAATAGGTTTGCTCAACAATTAGGCCAAACAACGTTACATTAGGCCTTTGTTTTTTTTTGTCTTAGCGTGTTTTGTTTTTTTTTGTTTTATTTGTTTTCAATAACGGCACTAATACGATTTGGCCTAATTCTTCATCTAACATACCAACACTGCACGTTACTCAAAAATGTGGATTAGAACAAGGTTTTTACGAGAGAAACAATTCATTGTCACTTCCTTCGCCGTGCCTCGTGGAACTGGTACAATTTATTTATTTATTGTGATGCTACACGAAACAACTCGAAATTTAAATTCTTTCACCAGCAACCACATTTTGTATATTCTAAAACTACAATTGCATTGGGAGCTGTCGCTGAAAGTATCCCCATGAGGCTACTGATATACTAAACTTATTTAAAACTATCAGCGCCCATATTGCACATTTAACTATTGTCTCAGTGACACAATTGAAATAGCTGTATAACTACAGTGTGTCCCAAAAAAGTACCCTCTATAGAAAGTATCTATCCTATTGTTATAAGGGTACTTTTTTGGGGACACACTGTAGTTAATATGACGTTGCATCCCATTACAAAAAACATAAATCCAAAACACAGACACATAAAAATGAGGCGAAAAAATTCATTTAAATGACGCATTTTATCCCCATATCCGTTCCGCAACCGCTCCATGGATCCGCTAGGTTCCGCATCCGCTTCCGCATTTTAACTTAATTGTGACATGTTTCTCAATAACAAGTCTCAATGACCTTTGACTTTATATTCCCAAGGCCAAGATCAGGTTGTTTTTTTTTTATATGAGTCATTTTCAGCTTTTCGCAAGTATTCAATAATGTCTCTTTAGATGTCAATAATTTCACAGTTACAGCAGAGTTTATAGCAGTTTTGATAAAGCTTTGATACAGATAGATTCTCGTAAGATCTGGTGATGTTCTCGTTGCATTTGAATATTGCATCGTGCCATTGAACACCAGTTTGCACCGTTGTGCCAGACATGTGAACAAGGCCCGTGACTGTACACGTTGGATAGCAAACGCCATACAATGATATACAAACACTAGTACACTACTTCTGTTTGATAGTTATTTATGCTCTACTGATCTGATGCAATGTTTTGCTCTTCGTACTGAGTGACCTATTCTGTGGTGTAGCAGTGTTACACCTTTACTTCGATGTATAATGAATATACGACTAAATAATATCGGCACTTAATTGAATGCCGGCCGGTATAAATGCACAACATCAATTTATATATTACGTAGCATCTCAAAGATTTTATCAATATTCATCGGTCTGAAATGTTTATGTACTTGAAAACAACGCTGTCTCGCTCCTTCCTAGCTCTGTATAATGAATATACCGTCAAAATAATATCGGCACTTCGAAGATTTTCTCAATATTTATAATTAGGTCTGAAATGTTTTATATACATTTGGAAAAAAGCACTATCTAGCTCCTTAGTTCTTAGCTCTGTATAATGAATATACCGTCTAAGTAATATCGGTACTTGACTGAATGCCCGTAATGAATAACATCAATTTATATATTGCGTAGACTCTCAAAGATTTACTCAATATTCACATCTGAAATGTGTATACATTTGAAAACAACACTGTGTCGCTCCTTCCTAGCATCGTCACGTCATCGTAGGTCATCTACGGTTTGATAGCGCATGCGCATTTGCGCTGCTAAAGAAAAAATCGAGTGTTCCGGAGTAAAGATCTTTTACACAACATGAGAAGCGAATGTTATAAAATTTACAAAAAATTACAATAACGACAACCACTCCTCAAAATTTTTGTGAACTTGGCAAAAGGACAAAAGAATATTTAAATAAGACAACTGAAATTGCCTAAATAACCTTCAAAGCACTGACTAAGTACAATAAATCACTACGAACATATATCGTATACACCCCCCGGAAAGTTTACACTATTATGCCTGATCCCTGACTCATATGAATTTTCCCCCACTCATCACAATACTTGTCAAGTTTCGAAGAAACTTGACACTAAAAACCATCACTCTAATAATATTTAGCTGGTCAAAATTATCAATGTCCTAAAATTGCCGGTCATTGACCGGTGAGCGGCCGTTATTTGCAGCGCTGGTAACACGGCAGTGTCTATATCAGTGTTTCCACAACCGCTTGTTCAAAAATCCCTTTACAATCTCGAAAATTCCTTTTTCCCCACAAAATTTCCTTGCCACCCAAACGGTGGAAAAATCAAGAAAATTCAGGCAAATTTGAGTCAAATGTATCTAAACCCGACGAGAAATCGAGCATCATTACATTGCCTGAAAATTTGGGCAATCATTCAAGAGTTCCCTCCATGAAAGTACTGTATCTACTCCACATACTGTATATGTTTATGTTTAATCAGGGGCGTAAGGGTCTTGATAATGGTGGAGGGGTCGAATGGCAAAAGGCGCTGAACGGCAAATTTTGAAATTTATAGTCCCTACATCGCCGGAAATGGCATTTTCAGATTCTTCTTTACCTCTTTTGTTGGACCAGGTCCTATACTATTTATAAGTTGATTTTACTGGTTCAAGACTTGTAACTGGTATAAGTTACAGAAATCCTTGCAATTTCCTTTAATTTTTGTATTTTTCATTGCCATTTCATTGTAAATTTTATTTCCTTGTAAATTCCTTGCAAGGACTAATATTTCCTTGCTGCAGGGAAAAATCCTTGTAAGTGGAAGCACTGGTCTATATGCACACGGAAGTGTCTGTATTTTTATGGCACAAACAAAAAGTCCATAAATCAAAACAAACCTGGCCTTGAAGTCAGTTGAACCTGCAGCCAGTAGAAGGTTACTGGGATGCCAATCAATACTACAGAAAGAAAGAAATTATTACAGACTGAGTATAACAATCACTTACAGTAATTACCTTCTAAGCAGCAAAGATGGTGTTACAGTTTTCTATCTATACTGTAGTTATAGTCATAGCTGGATTTCTAGTCTACATGAATTACGTATTGTACAAATATATCAATGTATTTATGAATTATTACTGTACGAGTCATCAAATTTTTCCCTTCATTACATTAGCACAAGATTTCCTTCAAAACATTGCATTAAAGAGTACTTGACACGGAGATGAATGGCTATCACTTTTTCAAGTGTACACCCTAAGCAACACATACAAATTCAATAAACATGAAAATTAACTGTCAAGTTTGAGTCAAATTTTCACTTGATTTACAGTATCAATTAGCCTTTCTCATGGCCGATTTTCCTGCCATTTTTAGGGTACTGCCTCTCCCACGTTCAGAGTCTCCGCACCACGAAATACTGCACTTAAAACTTTAGTATAATTGCAGTTGTTTGTATAATGGTAAATTTACAGTTACAACTTTTAAAAGTCGCTTTTCACGTTGTTTGAATTGTCTGGAATCTTTCACGAGGGCAGACAGTACCCCCAATTAAAAATGGGAAATTTTGGCATTCGTGAGAAAGGCTAAATGACCTTTCCCAAGGGTGCATGACTTTTTTTAGGGAGGTGCACGACTTTTTTAGGGAGGTGCAAAATCCAGTCAGGTTATACTGTAGTCAAATTTCATGTACAGTACCTAATAGGAATTGGACATTTCATTTAATGTGTAAAATCTACTTAATTAGTACCTGGTAACAGTTGATCTCAATGGCTTCTTGATGTGTTTACTAACCCACCTGCAGAATAAAATTGCAAAAATAATACAGAGAGTTTGAGACATCTCGTTCGATAGAACTATACTGTAAATAGTAAATGGGTGTTTTCTAGACAGAATATTAGAACGCCACACTAATCATGTATATGTATATGTTGTGTTAATGTTGGACAAAGCGGGACATCAGGAGCGATGGGGGATAGTTAAAAAGAGCGGGAAAGGACGGGGAGAAAAGAAACATGACATTGTATACTAGGGGTTGATATTGTTAAAAGAAACGAACAAACCAGTTTATATTTGGCGACGAGGATTAAAAAAATCACTTATCCTGACATTGACTACGTCACAATCAGATATATACAACTACAAAGCACCAAAAGCTGAAATACCGACCACTATGGCGGCCATGGCGAGCACATCAACACTATATTTTGACCCTGATCTTCATCCAGACGACACTTTACGTGCTTTTGACGAATTTATCCAGAGCTTCGAGCTCCGATATGATGCACAATATCCTGATCCTCCTAAAACATCTCTAGATGCGGCTATTGAACGATGGAAACTCGCAAACGATGATAAAAAGCCAACGCTTGATGACTATGACAACATTCGCGACGAATGGCGATCAAAAGATCGCGTGACAAAACTCATCGGTATATTCTCATCGAAACGATTGTTTGCTGACTGGAAAGTCGCAGAACCGGATGATTCCAAAAGAGCTAAGGTGACGTGGAAATATTTCGTGACAACAATGCAACAGCACTACAAACCAAACCAACAGAAAATCTTACACTTAAAAACCACCAGTTCCGGTCTTTGGCACAGGACGCCCATGAGTCATTTCCGACATTTTGCAATCGCGTATATAAAGCAGCTCAACACTGCAATTTCAAATGTCACAATGACGATTGCACTGCCGAAGATACAGCCATACATGACCAGATTATTATTGGCACTACACATGACAAGATCAGAGAGGAAGCCCTCAAAAATTCATGGGACCTCCAACAATTACGCAAGGAAGGAATGCGAATTGAAAGTGCCACCAAAGGACTGGAAGAGCTCAACAATGAAAATCCAGTCAACAAAATGGGTAAATACTCCTTTAAAAACATGAAGAAAAAACCTGAGGCTGGAAAGCCCCGGTCATGTTACTACTGCGGACAAGACATCAAGACATCCGTTATTGCTCACCTCAAATCCTGCAGAGCACGAACCAGCAAATGTAACTTCTGTGATGCAATTGGCCACTATGAAACTGTATGTAGGAAGAAGAAAGCAATCAATGAACTGAAAAACGACAGCGAACAACAAGAACATGAAATCGAAGATCACGACCACAGCGGCGTCTACAGCATCAACATCTTCAGAATAACCGAAACACCTCAGCACCAACAACCTCATAAGAGACGCATGAAAACCAGAGATTTCAACGCACAAGTCATCATCAACAATAGCCTTGCAAACGTGTTGGCTGACACAGGTACAAGTATCAGCGTCTGTGGAAGAGAGCAAGCGCAAAAATGGAACCTCCTGTCCAGAATGGTCCCAACCACGACCAAGGTCAAGCCATATAACAGCCCGACAATACCAGTTATTGGAATTGCCAAATGCGCTGTCACATTTGGCTCCACATCCATTCCAGTTGATTGGCACATAATTGATACACCATGTGAACCTGTACTTGCAGGACAAAGTGCAGTACAACTGGGGATAATCCAGTTTGACCCTCAGCCCGAAGTTTACCAACCAGTACAGATGATCCAGTGTAGCAAAAAGGAAGCGCTTCAAGACATCTTAAAGAAATATCCGCAGAATTTTGAAGGGCTTGGAAAGTTGAAAAACCACCAAGTTAAACTGCATGTCGACCCCAGTGTTAAACCCGTTGCCTCCCCAGCTCGACCAGTGCCATATCACTTGAAGGAACGTATCAGAACAGAGATTGACAAGATGGTAGCCCAAGATGTCATTGAAGAACATCCACCAACAGAACCAGCACCTTGGGTGTCAAACGCAGTTATTGCACCCAAATCGGACGGCGCCATTCGTATGACCCTTGACGCTCGCAATGTGAATAAAGCGATCCAAGCTTCCAACCTGCCCATCCCAAGGCAAGAAGACATTAAAGCTAAACTTAGCGGAGCGAAGGTGTTCTCGAAGATGGACTTTAAATCGGCATTTTGGCAACTTGAACTCCACCCAGATTCCCGGTACCTTACGGTGTTCCACGCAAACGATAAACTATACCGATATAAGCGACTCACCATGGGCGTAAAGCCAGCACAAGGAGAACTTAACATGGCTCTTCAACCGCTTTTCGCACATATTCCACAAGCACACCTCATCCATGATGACCTTATTGTTGCAACAGAAACCGATGCAGAACACCATTCCGCGATTACTGCCGTCATGCAAGCCATCACTAACGCTGGTATAACCCTTAATCCAAGCAAGTGCACTTTCGGAGCCACTGAGATCGAATTCTGGGGTTTGCGTATTGGTTCCGCAGGAGTACGACCAGATCCCGCCAAAGTGGAAGCACTAAAGCACATCACACCGCCTCGATCAAAGGAAGAATTGATCAGTTTTCTCTGTATGATGCAGTCCAATGCCGATTTCATTCCAAACTTCGCACAACACGCGGCCAAACTGAGAGAACTGACCAAGAAAAATAGTCGATTCACATGGACGAAAGAACACCATGCCGCTTACGAAGCATTAATCGAACGATTCACAGTAAATACCCTACTCGAGTATTTCGACATGAGCAAGCCAACTTTCATTTTCACCGATGCACACACTACTGGACTTGGGGCCATGCTGGCACAAGGAGATACACCAGAGAGCGCAAGACCAATTGCCATAGCTTCTAGAACAACAAACAAGGCCGAGCAGAGGTATCCACAAATCGACCTTGAGGCCCTTGGTATTGATTTTGCTCTACGACGATTTCGCAACTATATCCTTGGTTCCCCAACCGATATCCAGGTTATAACTGATCATAAACCATTATGCTCTATCTTCAACGGCAACCGTAAAGGCTCGATTCGTACAGAAAGAATAAAGCTCCGCCATCAAGACATCAGATTTACGGTAATCTACCAGTGTGGGAAAGTTAACCAATCCGACTACCTATCCCGACACGCGAAACCAATCGAGAAACTACCTCGGGAGGAACAAACTGAAGCGGATGACCTCAATAATCTCCTGTACCTACTTCATACAACACCAGCCATCGACTGCGTGGGTATTGGTGCTATTGCACAAGCCACAAGTGAAGACCAGACTCTGCAAAAGATAGCGGCACTCATCAAGAAGGGACAGACTTGGATCCCAAAGACAGAACCTGCCGAAGTTCAACGTTTTCGACCCATCCTTCCACAACTCACAGTTACAGGAAATGGCATAATCCTCAAAGATGAAAGGATCATCCTTCCGACTAAGCTCCAAGAAAAAGCTATCCAGATTGCACACAAGGGAGCCCATCCCGGACAGGAGGGGTTGAAGCGACGGCTTAGATATCATTTCTTCTTCCACGGTATGGATAAGAAGGTGGAAGAGTTTGTAAAGTCATACAGTAACTGCAATGTATTTGTGGATAAGAAGACGAAGGAGCCGATCAAACCACACCGAGTACCAGAGAAGTGTTGGGAAACAGTTGCAGTGGATTTATTCGGACCAATGCCACATCATCTAAACATGTGGTGGTAGTACAAGACCTAGCGTCAAGATACCCTGCAGCAAAGTTAGTCACATCAACAAAGGCAGACAAAGTCATACCAGCCTTGACAGAAATTTACGAAACATACGGCAACCCAGATGTACAGATCTCAGACAATGGTCCACCATTCAACAGCATTCAGATGCAAAACTTCGCCAAGACCAAAGACATCAAGTTACAGAAATCACCACCACTACATCTCTCCTCGAACCCAGTCGAAACCTTTTTGCGGCCCTTGGGCAAGGCCATGAAAACTGGGCGTCACAGAGGTATTCCCGAAAAAGAAAGCCTAAAAAATGTCTTGAAAAACTACAGACAGACACGTCACCCGGCAACCAATCTTCCACCGGCAGCTATGATTTTCCACCATGGATAACGCCTGGACTTTCCTAGAAGACACGCAACAGACGAAGAGATGAGCAGGGCACGAGAAGCAGACCAGAAGAAGAAAATGGAAAACGAAAGTAAAGTAAATGGCTCCAAGTACCGGAAGATATCTCATTTAATTCATAACCGGCGACAATGTCCTGATCAGAAACTACAATAAATCAAGAAAGTTTGACACTCTCTTCCTCCAGGAAGCGTTCAAGATCATTGATATGAACAGGGAGGGAAACATAGTCACGGTACAACAAGAAGGAAGCGGTCTCACCCTGTGTCGCCACCCGGATGATCTCAAACCTTCGAAAAGTCGACCGGACAACCGCGAAGAGAAACAGGAGTGCATGCAGTACGCCGAGATCCAATGGCCAGAAGTAATTGAGCACGATGACGACGAAAGCTACTGCCTGGAAAAGAGAGATACAGCACCACCGCCTAGACGAAGTCAACGGAAATGGACGACCATTCCAGTTTACAAGTAAACACGAATGTTTACGAACAGTATTCATTTTATCTATTTGTGATAGGGGATGATGTATATGTATATATTGTCGGTTAATGTTGGACAAAGCGGGACATCAGGAGCGATGGTGGACAGTTAAAAAGAGCGGGAAAGGACGGAGGGAAAGAAACATTACATTGTATACTATGGGTTGATATTATTAAAAGAGACGAACAAACCAGTTTATATTCCTGACTTAGTAAGAAACGGGCTTTAACGACAGGACATAAGTATCGCGCATCGAACAGTATCATTGCCATAATTAACGGCAATGGAATGTTTGCATGGATTCCCAGCGTCCACGGTTTCTACAAAAAAGGAAAATTTTGGCTTTGCAACAAAAATAACCCCAAGAGTTGTGAATTATTTTGCCCTGATCAAGACCGCTCGTTGTACGAAACGGCTATGGCAATGTGGAGAACGAATGGACCAATTCATCCGGTGTGTGATACTCACCAAAGACTAGCAAGAATGAAAGTCGTCAAAGACGTTAGTAAACTGAACTTTGGAAGGCCGTTTTTTGTTTGTTGCGACCGCGAGAATCCATGTGAGTTCTGGCAGTGGGGTGACAGACACGAGTTGCCAAAACCAAAGTGCGGACACGGATTGAATGCTTGCGTGCGGAAAGTCAAAAAGGAAGGAGAAAATCAAGGCCGCCTTTTCTTCTGTTGCCCAAACGATCGAGAAAAGTCGTGCGATTTTTTTTAATGGAAGCTCGAGCTGGAACACCCGTTCAACCAAGTGCATTTTCCTCACGTTGAAAGAGTTGCAATTGGTATATGGCAGAGTAATCCAGCGCTATACACATACATGGTAGCTGAAACTGGACTTACCTTTACAAGCTCACGGGAAAATCCACACGATGCCTACGCTGAATATATGGGGGAATTGCCAATTTTCTCACTAACGAAGGATATGGAGAAACTGTCACTTATAGACTATTAGGAGACTATAATTAAGCCATTAAAACATTGTTATATTTAACACTTAACCTAAACCTAGTGAGTGAAATGTTGTAAATACGCTTTGGCCCGAAAACTACAAAAAGTACAAATCAAATCAAATCAAATATATTTTAGCCACAAAAAATAACAGTATAGAAAATATACAATTAAGGAATTATAAACGGCAAGGAAGCCCAAAAGAAACCAAAAGGCTTATAGAGTTTGGACTACCTTTTACATTCTGATAAGGCCGAAGCTCATTTAAAATATGAAATTAACACTACCGCTCTGACAATAAATAATTCATGCGTGAAAAAGACAGATATCAATAAGTTTCAAATACACAAAAGTAACATATACAAATCACCTACACAACTAACATACACAGGTATACATATAGTACATACAAACGAACACATCTATATTCACGATAAAATAATACTAAAGAGTAAATAGATATCCTTTTAAATTTTTTCTAAAACAAGAGATAGATGAAGCACCATAAATATCTCGGGGAAGCGAATTAAAGAGTTTTACACCTTGATAAATAACAGAAATCTGTCTAATTTTCGTTCGGCAGAATGGAACATAAAACAAATTTGAGTTACGTGTATTATAATTATGAACTTGTTTAACGCAAAGAAAGAAATGATTAAAACTGGGAGGTAACATCTCTTTATAATATAAGTACATAAACTTACCCAAATGAAATGAATATATCTTATCAAATGGAAAAATTTTTAGTTTCCTAAATATAGGTTCAGTGTGTGCAACATATGCCGATTTGTCTACAATTCTGATAATACGTTTCTGGAGCAACACAATACGATATAAATTCGATGGGTACGTTGATCCCCAAACTAAAATACAATATTGTATATATGGGTAAACAAGAGAATAATATAACGTAATTAATGATGAATTAGAAAGACAAAAACTTGCTTTTTTGACTATACCAATCGATTTAGACATTTTTCTAGCTACATGAGATATATGTGCCTTCCATGTTAGATGTTCGTCTAAAATTACTCCCAAAAAACTTACTTCCTTGACTAAATCAATTTCTATGTTATTTAGCGATATTTTCAAATCAGTATTGCACCGTTTTTGTTTAAAAATCATATATTTAGTCTTCTTAAAATTAATTGACAATTTATTAACTGAAAACTAATCAAATAATTTATTCAACTCAGAATTAACCTGATTTATCAAATCAGGCAAATTTTGGTTCGAATAAAATACGTTTGTATCAACAGCAAATAAAATCATGTGAAATATAGTTGAAACATTACAAATATCATTAATATACAATAAAAAAGTAATGGACCTAATATTGAGCCCTGCGGTACTCCACACTGGATAGTCATTTTTTGAGAGTACACCCCGTTATACTGAACAAATTGGAGTCTATTACTGAAATAACTTTTAAACCAATCAAGAGCTTTACCACGAATTCCATAATGTTGAAGTTTTTCAAATAAAATATAATGGTTTACAGTATCAAATGCTTTAGATAGATCAAGAAAAATACCAATTGTGAACTTATTTTGATCAATTGCTGATGAAATTTTATCATATAACTGTAATAAGGCTAAGGAAGTTGAGTGATCTTTTCTAAAACCAAATTGATTATCATTGAGAATATGAAACTTATTTATATAACTTAGTAAACGATTATAAATTACTCTTTCGAAGATTTTAGAAAATATTGGTAAGACTGAGACTGGTCTATAATTTACAAACATTCTATGATCACCTGATTTAAATATTGGAACAACTCGCGCAATTGTTAATGGATCGGGAAATATACCAGATGAAATTGATAAGTTGACAATATGAGTGAGTGGGCTGGCAATCAGTTCAATCGATTCTTTAATAGCAGACACTGATAAATTATCATAGCCAGCAGCAACTCCATTCTTAAAAGAGTATAGAATTTCCATAATCTCTTGCTCAGTTGAGGGCTCAAAAAACACGGTGTTTACATAATTCCCAGAAAGAAAGAAATTAGGAGATATAGGGACATTTTGTATTTTTCTAGCCAAGTTAAGACCAAGATTGGAAAAATATTTACAAAACTGATCATCTATTAATAATGGATCAGAACATTCGTGATTATCAGTGACAAATGTTGATGGAAGACGTCGTGTCTGATTTCGCTTATTAATAATCTCGTTCAGTATGTTCCATGTTTTCTTACAATTTGATTTATTACGGTCTAATTGCTGCTCATAATAAAGACGTTTGGCGATTCTAATTGAGTGATTTAATTTATTTTTGACTCTCTTGTACTTAAGATTATTATTAACACTTGGGGAATTTAAATACCGCTTATACAATCGATTTTTTTGTCTAATTGATTTTAAGAGACCTTTAGAAAGCCATGGTTTTTTGAAGATTGACTTATTATTTTTAGCTTTTTTTAAAGGAAAACAATCATTATAAATATCACAAAATTTACTTAAAAAGCTAGAATAAGCCTTCTTTGGCTCATAGATATCATCTAAATCATACCAATTAACATTAGAAAGGCAGTTATGAAATTTAGCTACATTTCTTTCACATTTATCACGAAAAACAGAATATGGTGCTTCATCTTTCATCTTCATTTTTTCGTTAGAAATACTAAATATAGGTAAATGATCAGATATATCAGTCAAAACTAAGCCACTGAATGCATAATTATCAAAGTCATTAGTAAATATGTTGTCAGTGGCAGAGTGCGATGTAATCCTTGTCGGAAGTGTTATCAAGGGGAAAACGTATTTGCATAGATTATGTCAAGAAATTCATTTGTAAATTGATGAAAATGTTGATTCAACAAATTTAAGTTAAAATCACCCATTATATAGCAATTTTTGTTTTCACTAGAAATTATGCCAATCAATGTATTAAGCTTAGAAATAAAATCAACTATATTTTGGCTAGGTGGTCTATACATCACTCCGACTATCGTATTCTTCCCTTCAGGGTTAACAATTTCAACAAACAAAGATTCGACAGTGACTGCATTATCAAAACAAAAATCATCGCGAATCTTATATTCTAATACCGAACTGATGTACAAACCAATGCCACCTCCGGCCTTATCAGTCCGACAAATATGCTCAAAATTATATCCATTAATGTCAACATGGTGAGTCGAATCTTGAAGCCAAGTCTCAGAAATACCAATAACGGAAAACGTGTTGTTTATACTTGCAAGTAGCTGCTGCAACTGATTTAGGTTGCGGCATAAACTACGCATATTTAAATGCATAAATGACAAACAATTGATATTCGTGGTTTTATTTGACAACATATTATTTAAACTGTAGACTCTAACTCTACCATTTCTACCACGTAGACTCTAACTCTACCTCTACCATTGCCACAAAGGCGGACATTATGAAAAAGACTTACTGAACAGTCTCAGTATTCCAGCCGTAAATTTGGAGTCCTGTGGATGTCCTAAAGCTGAAAAACTCTTTGACCAAATCATCTGGCTGGAAACCTGCAAAAAACCACCTATCAACACTGTCCGAAAGTTGAAACCGGAGTGTAATACAATTAATAACTGAATCGTATCAACGCAAGTATTACGTAATTGTACTGCACTGATAACATTACATACTAAGTCTAAGCCTTTGAAAATGAGTTTTTCACAAAATTTTGAGACTGCTCATGAGCGAATGCTCATCTGCTCATAAGGCTCGTTTAACCCGAACAGTATACTGTGTCTGGTACAATTTTGTGCGATGAGCAGATGAGCATGTGTTCATAACTGCTCATGAGCACATGCTCATCTGCTCATTAGGCCCAATGGCCCGAAGTGCATTTTTCCTTCGTGGAAGCCCAGACACCACTGCAGAAAAATTGATTAATTTATGTACACAAATGTATAATTTTTCGTATTCGCATGTTTTTGCCATTTTGATTTCTATCCGGCCAACCCATGTAAAAATGACAAGAAACGACAGGTATAATTGAAAAACAATTTATTTTAATGACTCGAAGTTACATGCTGTGTCTATGCTGGTCTTGTTTTACATGCTAATACTGTTCAAGTACAAGAATTCAATCCTATATTCGACCTATCAGTCGAGTCTAACCATCATTGCATGTCATCATCATTCTCTTCATCAGAATCGTAACCCTTTAAAAGCCTTCTTATAAGAAACATTTAACTCCGAACTACTACGCACAGATTTTGTTAGATTTTCAAAATCATGTCGGGTAATAATAATAATAATAATAATAATAATATTTAATATTTATATTGCGCAAATTAACATGTTATAGTATATGATCAAATGCGCATCACAAAACATAATTACACTAAAATTATTCTATGCTGAATGGTTACTAACTAAAAATATAAAGAAGATTATATAGATTATATGTTACATGAAGTATTTACATTAAAGGCTTCTTCAAAATAATAAGTCTTAACTAATTTCTTGAAAATAATAAAAGGTACAATTACGATGAGCACATGTTCATAACTGCTCATGAGCACATGCTCATCTGCTCATAACTGCTCATGAGCACATACTCATCTGCTCGTAACTGCTCATGAGCACATGTTCATCTGCTCATAAAACTGCAGTGCTGCTCAATAACAAGGCATTTCTACATAAAAATAACAAGAAAAACAGGTATAATTGAAAAGCAATTTATTTTAATGACTCGAATACAACACTTCAATCCTATATTCGACCTATCAATCGAGTCTAATCATCATTGCATGTCATCATCGAATATTCTCTTCATCAAAATCGTAACGCCTTAAAAGCCTTCTTATAAGAAACTTTCTCTTATCAACAGCTGCTTCTAACGCTTCTCCTGGATCAAAATCATCGTTTCCACAAGCGCATCTTTTGTGTGCATTATCTTCTTATGTACTGGATCTTTCTTTAGTTGTCTCATCCACACGAGACGCTCCTTATAAATATTTTCCAGTTCCTTCTGGAATTTAGGCAGCATATTAGAGAAAGTAAGCAGAAACTCGACGTTTCGAGCGAAGGCCCTTCGTCTAATTGATTAATTTATGTACACAAATGTATAATTTTTCGTATTCGCATGTTTTTGCCATTTTGATTTCTATCCGGCCAACCCATGTAAAAATGACAAGAAACGACAGGTATAATTGAAAAACAATTTATTTTAATGACTCGAAGTTACATGCTGTGTCTATACTGGTCTTGTTTTACATGCTAATACTGTTCAAGTACAAGAATTCAATCCTATATTCGACCTATCAGTCGAGTCTAACCATCATTGCATGTCATCATCATTCTCTTCATCAGAATCGTAACCCTTTAAAAGCCTTCTTATAAGAAACATTTAACTCCGAACTACTACGCACAGATTTTGTTAGATTTTCAAAATCATGTCGGGTAATAATAATAATAATAATAATATTTAATATTTATATTGCGCAAATTAACATGTTATAGTATATGATCAAATGCGCATCACAAAACATAATTACACTAAAATTATTCTATGCTGAATGGTTACTAACTAAAAATATAAAGAAGATTATATAGATTATATGTTACATGAAGTATTTACATTAAAGGCTTCTTCAAAATAATAAGTCTTAACTAATTTCTTGAAAATAATAAAAGGTACAATACTAACTCTTGACGAAGGGCCTTCGCTCGAAACGTCGAGTTTCTGCTTATTTTTTAAGGTAGTAATATAACCACTCAGCACAGCATTTTCACATTGGTACTAAAGTCCCACACTGGTACAGACAGTTTTAGTGTATATTAGAGAAAGCTTTGTCCTTAGCGGATTGCTCATCTAGACCAGTGTTTATAAGGCTTTCTTTAATTTCCTCTGAAGCTATATTTCTTCTTTGTTTTGCTTCTTCTATCAACGGTATCCAAGGGCCCATTTCCTCTTCAGTTTCTGACTCATTATCAGTCCTCATCGAAATTTCAGACGCATCGGTTGAAGTTGTTGAGACATCGTCTTGGAAATCCCTTTCGTGGCTATCCGAGTCTGTTTGAGACATGTTTCGTTCTTGTGCACGCAGGGGACAGTATTCCTTTTCGTGTCTTCGTAAATTTTTGCTTTCTACAAAATTTGCAGCTCATTCCGTTAGCACTGACTGTGTAGAAATGCCTTGTTATTGAGCAGCACTGCAGTTTTATGAGCAGATGAGCATGTGCTCATGAGCAGTTACGAGCAGCATGCGCTCATGAGCAGTTATGAGCATGTGCTCATTGCACAAAATTGTACCCAACATGATTTTGAAAATCTAACAAAATCTGTGCGTAGTAGTTCGGAGTTAAATGTTTCTTATAAGAAGGCTTTTAAAGGGTTACGATTCTGATGAAGAGAATGATGATGACATGTAATGATGGTTAGACTCGACTGATAGGTCGAATATAGGATTGAATTCTTGTACTTGAACAGTATTAGCATGTAAAACAAGACCAGTATAGACACAGCATGTAACTTCGAGTCATTTCATTAAAATAAATTGCTTTTCAATTATACCTGTCTTTTCTTGTCATTTTTACATGGGTTGGCCGGATAGAAATCAAAATGGCAAAAACATGCGAATACGAAAAATTATACATTTGTGTACATAAACTAATCAATTTTTCTGCAGTGGTGTCTGGGCTTCCACGAAGGAAGAATGCACTTCGGGCCATTGGGCCTAATGAGCAGATGAGCATGTGCTCATGAGCAGTTATGAACACATGCTCATCTGCTCATCGCACAAAATTGTACCAGACGCAGTATACTGTTCGGGTTAAACGGGCCTTATGAGCAGATGAGCATTCGCTCAGCAGTCTCAAAATTTTGTGAAAAACTCATTTTCAAAGGCTTAGACTTAGTATGTAATGTTATCAGTGCAGTACAATTACGTAATACTTGCGTTGATACGATTCAGTTATTAATTGTATTACACTCCGGTTTCAACTTTCGGACAGTGTTGATAGGTGGTTTTTTGCAGGTTTCCAGCCAGATGATTTGGTCAAAGAGTTTTTCAGCTTTAGGACATCCAAAGGACTCCAAATTTACGGCTGGATTACTGAGACTATTCAGTAAGTCTTTTTCATAATGTCCGCCTTTGTGGCAATAGTAGAGTTAGAGTCTACGTAAAAATATTTGTACTTTTTGTAGTTTTCGGGCCGAAGCGTATTTACAACATTTCACTCACTAGGTTTAGGTTAAGCGTTAAATGTAACAATGTTTTAATAGCTTAATTATAGTCTCCTAATAGTCTATAAGTGACAGTTTCTCCATATCCTTCGTTAGTGAGAAAATTGGCAATACCCCCAAATATTCAGCGTAGGCATCGTGTGGATTTTCCCGTGCGCTAGTAAAGGTAAGTCCAGTTTCAGCTACCATGTACGTGTATAGCGCTGGATTACTCTGCCATATACCAACTCTTTCAACGTGAGGAAAATGCACTTGGTTGAACGGGTGTTCCAGCTCGAGCTTCCATTAAAAAAAACCGCACGACTTTTCTCGATCGTTTGGGCAACAGAAGAAAAGGCGGCCTTGATTTTCTCCTTCCTTTTTGACTTTCCGCACGCAAGCATTCAATCCGTGTCCGCACTTTGGTTTTGGCAACTCGTGTCTGTCACCCCACTGCCAGAACTTACATGGATTCTCGCGGTCGCAACAAACAAAAAACGGCCTTCCAAAGTTCAGTTTACTAACGTCTTTGACGACTTTCATTCTTGCTAGTCTTTGGCGAGTATCACACACCGGATGAATTGGTCCATTCGCTCTCCACATTGCCATAGCCGTTTCGTACAACGAGCGGTCTTGAGCAGGGCAAAATAATTCACAACTCTTGGGGTTATTTTTGATGGAAAGCCAAAATTTTCCATTTTTTGTAGAAACCGTGGACGCTGGGAATCCATGCAAACACTCCATTGCTGTGAATTATGGCAATGATACTGTTCGATGCGCGATACTTATGTCCTGTCGTTAAAGCCCGTTTCTTACTAAGTCAGCATAAACGCGTCCGGGCAATGTCGTAAAAGTACAATGTGTTCAGCCATGTACGAAAGTTAATGACTTTTGCTATTCAACCCGGATTAGTGATATTCAAATTTCGCCAGGTTATTAGTCGTGTAACCATGCAATTAAGCGTTGCGTCCAAGATTGTTTTATTTCAAAGCTACAATCTTGGCCATAAACCGTAGGACGACGATAAATTTTTATGCATTTTTAAGGCCTCCCCCCTTCCCCCCCATTCAATGTTGCCGTTTCGTGTATATTTATGATCTGACCTACTGTGCAACAAAATTGTACGTGTACTAGAAATGTGGGAAAGCAACATTGAATGGGGGGAGCGGGGGGAGGTGCAAAATGATTTTAAAACCCAAGTATATTAAAAAAGTTGCGAATTTGCCTTGTCGTTCTACGAACTTTTGGCCAAGATTGTAGCTATATCCACTTGTTTTAATTCCCATACACATATTCTTACGGCTTCTTGCACAATTTCAGGGTTACAAAAATCGCTAACTTTAAAAACTAAAGTCAAGTAAGCCATAATTCTACCAAAATTTGAAGGTTCTAACTCCTGATAGATTACACACAAATTTTCAAGTACGTTCTCTCTTCCAATACGAGCTATCATGCTTTCAAATAAACCCCCATGCTTTTCCAAAAGCACTTTTAAATGAAAACGAAAAGTATTCTCACTCAATTCAATGTTATTTTCCCTTAAAACCGCCATTATTAACCCTTCCGCCATCTTGAAACAAAATGGCGGCTAATCGGAAAGCCCTCGTTGTTTTATCATCATCGGAAAATCATCGGAAAAATACGTCATCATTATGCAAATTAATTTGCATAACTCATGAATTATTAATTATTAATTACTTAATTAATTAAGCGCATGAAACGGGGTCCATTAAGCCCCGCTGCACACTACTCCTGCCGACTATACGCATTAGGCAAGTGCCTCACGGGCATAATCGTGCAAGGAACAGCAACAGTTACCTCAGACACAGAGTAGGGACTACCTCCTCCGCAGGCCCATTTGCGGCGGTGCAAATTTGCGAGCCACTTTTAGAAACGTAAGAAGGAAGCTCTCGCCTGTAATTTAATAAATCCGCATTTTCCGAAGCTGCCCGAAATGCTCTAGGCGAACGCGCCTGCGGAGGAAGTAGGCCTTTAAGTGCTTGTGAAATCTCTTCGAACTTCGTGTCGATAAGCCTTTGTATATTCCAATGACATAGCCTATTAAAGCCCTATTTAATGTTGGAATACAGAAAAGTTTATAGGACCTGGATTTACAGAGATGTCTCCACAAAGAAGTATACACTCAGCAAGCATGGTGAACTTTGCGGCAAGACGCAGTAGACTTGAGACTGAATACACCATTGCCCCACTGGCATTGTTGAATTTGCTCGAGTATAGTTCGATTAAAACCGCCAACATAAGGTCGATTTAATTCTTGCGAAGCGTATAACCGATTACCCATAGCATTCACAGGTTGTGTGTTAGCTGCATCGAAGTTGTAAATTATATTTAGTTTAACTGAGACAGAATAATCAAGCATAAACTTAGAGTTATCGCGGACGACCAAAGTACACGTCCGACCGCCATTGATTGTCATTATAGGGAGCTTAAGCATGTAGGACGGCAACACGACGACGACGGCAACCAATACAATGAGTCAATGAAAAGAAAGAAATAATTAAAGTCCCAGGGAAGTTTCAGACGTAGTCGTCGCTCTGTTTACAACGGCAAATCACAGATTTTCACGTCTTTTATACAACTCCTGCATTTCAAGCCGTAACAAGTGCAACTTAAAATTCGGTTCAGCACAACTCTTCCCAAACATAAAACCAATGTTTTCAACTTCTTATCCCCGAGCCGACTGCGCGAAGCGCCGTGCGAGGGTACTAATTCCCCCCAGCTATTTACACCCGGGGAAGCGAAAGCATTAGCGAAGTCTAAAGTTCACCAATGATCGCGGGCGTGGCTCACTGTGCGTGGATGGTCATCCTCACTGATCTAAAAAATATGGCGGACTGTCATGAATAGTGAACACTGTGATTGGTCCAATTTAAAATTTGCATTAGGGAGCAGTCATTATTAATACCAGGGGGGGGCCGGAAGATATTTCTAAACTCATGGTAAATTTTTCATGGCCCCTCATTCTTTCAAAATATTTTTTCATGCCCCCCCTTTTAAATATAATAAATTTTCATAGCCCCCCCCCTCCTTCTTCCCCTGTGATTGAACTTGCATTCCAAACATATACTAAGATCACAGGCGGCCCAATCTCGCAAGCGACATCTTGGGCTACCTGTGGTGCAATTAATGATTTTCGATGGTTGGGGGGGGGGGGATCAAAAGTAAAATCGGCAAATCGCCCGCACCCAGGAAAAAAGTCGTTGTGAAATGCCCGTCTGTGGGGATAAAATTCACGGTCAAATCCCCACTCATTGCCCGCACCCTTACGCCCGGGATTAATATTGATAGGTGCATAAACGACAAGTGTTCAAAACAACAAGTCCAATATGGCGGGGAAATTTATTTTTATCTTGTATAAAAACCATATGGACGAATTCAATTGAATTGAACTAAATTTTGGCACAAGAATGAGTTTAAAAAACATAGTATGACAAAAAGAGCCTGTGGAGATATACCTAGAAACAGTTCTAAGAAATAATCTCGACGAGATGCAGCGAAACGTGACTTTGTAAGTCTGTATAAATACAATTTATAAAGATTTTCTTAATAATTTCACGGTTATTTGAGTTTGAATCATTTGTCCTAGTTTAAATGATGTGCCTTTTATGAGTTTATGATCATTTCCCAAGTTTGTTTATGCCAAATTGCTAGTTACAAAAGAATTAAAAACTCTTGACAAAATGAAGTTGAATTTTATCGAATTTCATCATGCTATGCATAAAATAAATAATCACTCGGGCAAGTCGTGCAATTAATTAACAGCTTGTGCAATTTTGGCACATTTTTCAAATATTACTCGTAGTGTTAATATAATTAATTGCACTCCTTCCTGTGTGATTACCTATACTTATATTGTATTGACATTTATATTACAGTGAACTATAATTGCTGATGTTTTATGATTATTGTACATTATTTTTGGTGCCCCCGCCTACCTTTCTTTGATATATTTGGTAGCCCCCTAACTGGTTGATAAATTTTTGGTGCCCCCCCCCCCCAAATATCTTCCGCCCCCACCTGTTATTAATAATAGGGAGCTTTAGATTTGACTACGAGTACGACTACGAGTACGAGATTCGTCAAGCTAAACGCATGCTGTATGCTTACGCCATCCCGTACTGACGCTAAAAAGTCGTAGCCGTCGCCCATCTGAGTACGAAATTGTGGAGAAACCTCGTAGTCCTCACGACGACTTTTCAAAAAAAACAAAGAAAGTTGGCTTTTTTTTGTTTTCCAAAAATAATTTGCAGCATTTATATAGCGTTTATTCGGCGCAAATAATATATTGCGGTGCCCAAAGTTTGGCACCGCATTATATTCTGCCTGTGAGTTTGTTAGTCTGTTAGTTTGTCCGTTTGTTAGTTTGTTCGCATCAATACGTTTCCTTAATCGCCTACAAAAAATTCCTTGCACGTGCTCGGAATTTATGAATTTATTAATTATTATTAATCGTGTACTCTCATGATGATCGACTAACATCGTCAAACAAGGACAACAATACCACTGTTCGAATCAGCGTGAAAAGTTGTGTTTACGGATGGAAAATTGATTTCAAAATTGACTTCTATTCTAGCGATTTGTCGCCTTTGAAAGACAAAAGCCGCTCAAAATAATCCTTCACGTTTTCCGAATTCCTTTTTTCGAGGAAAGTTTTCTTTCGAATTAATCTCAAACTTTCACGATTGACTTTTTGCTGCGACTTATCTCTGGTTTTATGCGCCCAATAAGGACAAAAATACCACCATTCGATTCAGTGTAAGAAATTATACTAAGAGAAGTCAAATGTGTTACTAAACTACAGTATTCTAGCGATTTATGGCCTTTGAAAGACAAGCGAAATTGTATTGTTCACAAATCGCTCAAAATTATTAAACTAATTAAAAATGCAATGCATTTGACCTTGATAACTTTCGTATTGTTGGTTTTCTCTTTTTCGTCCGTATACCAGTCGATTTGTCTCACTTTTCTCTTTATTTTGTTTGTAGTTTGAGCCCAAAATATTATATTTTGAAGGTTTTAATGTGCAGTTTTAATAAGCGAAATTGTATTGTTTACAAATCGCTCAAAATTATTAAACTAATTAAAAATGCAGTCCGTTTGATCCTTGATAACTTCGGAATTGTTGGTTTTCTCGTATGCCAGTGGATTCGTCTCACTTTTCTCCACATTTTGATAGTATTTTGAGCCCAAAATATTTTATTTTGAAGGCTTTAAAACGCAGTTTTGATCCTAACGTACGGACCAACTCGCGGCCGACAGGAGAATGTATAGCGTGCTAAATATAACTTTACTTGTGCATGTAGGCGGAAACGCCGAAAGTTTTATTTGTAGGCGGGCAACCGCATTTTAGTACTGTGTCTGGTTAGTACTAAATATCTGACCTGTTTTTAATGTTATGACTTATTTACACGTTTTGTGGGGGATTTTAGTCAGCAGGAGATTTAGTTTATGAAACTTTTTCTCTCGTTGATTTACTGTTATAAAAGCAACATTTGAATGAAAACGAGAACGACTACGGTAACTTCCTCGCACGCGATCAAATCTCGTACTCGTAGTCGTACTCGTAGTCAAATCTAAAGCTCCCTAATGACTGCTCCCTTATAACGACTGCATGACCAGGGGCGGATCGGCCCGATCTAGGATTTTTCGTACGTTAGTCAAAAATTTCGTTGCTGAACATCGAAGGGGGGGTGGGGTTCTTTTAACGGGGGGGGGGGGTCGCA